TGCCATTGAATATGAGGCTATAAGATCGATTGCGGGTCTTAAGCATTCAAAATGTTAGAGCTTCCGGGTGATTTTTCCCCCTGGACCCCCTTCAAGTAGTTTTGGGAAATCGCTCCTCACTTGCAGCACCTCCGAGTTTAAATAAATTAAGAACCAGGGGTATATAGGGAGCTGGCGTTATATTTAATTAAGTGCATTTTTGATTGAGAAAAAAAACCCAGATGATTGGATTATTCTTTTTAAGGTGGTATGAGTACATCCAGGACTACAAGAAGGGCATCCAATACAAGATTAACCTTACCGATAAGAAGTGTAGCGTTGATAAATTGATTGGCCCATGGCAAAATCACACCATCCCAGACAATGCCACTATGGAGGACGAGTACGATATGGGAGACCCGGGCCAATCGTTTACCGTACGCGAGTGGTCTGATAGAGTTCCTGGCAGAAAGAGTAAGTCTGATCTGAAGTATCACATAAGTCACGTGATATTCGCGCGTACAACGCGTGCGTCATGAAACATAGCGTAGCCAATTACATAATAGATTTCAAGATGTTTTTACATTTTGTATATGGTCGGCTCAATAAAAGTATCAACTGTTACACATAAAAGTAAATTTATATCTTCTGTGGTTGGTGAAACCATTAAAAATCAAATTAAAACATGATTTGCTCTAAAAGAATCCATAAGATACATATCAAAACACTTCTGTTTCACTTATATACTTTTATATATACTATAGGCATAAAGTATATATATTACGCCTATATATGGTTTTTAGAACAAAAATTATGGAACAAACTTTTCGACATTCTAAAAAATAAACAAACTAAATTATTTTATATTATTTATTTCATTAATTTCGGCAAAATACAACATATGGACAGACAAAAATATATGAAAGCCGAGGAAAGTAAAAACATAACACTGTTGTCACTGATAAGGTTGTCTCTAATAAACACTACCTTTAGGTGACGTCACTGCCGCCAGGTTTTAAAAATTGTGGTCATGTAAAACTTTCCTATACAATTATGAAATTTGTCTTGTGGTTAATTTTCCAGAGGAAGCTTGGATCGGTGCATTTACAGTCAAGAATTGCTGGCCAGTATTTGAGGTGTTTACCTACAATGATCCACAGAGCGAGTACAGTATCTCTACATCTACACGGTTCTTCGACTTGACGCTAGGCATACAAAACATGAGTGTGTTCACACCCCCCGACATGTGCAAACAAGACTCTTTTATCGACACGATTTTAAATGAACTTGATTCTGAAGATGGCGGGGAGATTAACCTAGAATACGTTGATAAATTCATAGATGTACTAAAAGAAGCATTTAGTTTTTTCGGGCTATGAAATATAATTTAAATTTGGCAAAATATTGAATAACTGTCCTTAAGGGAAAAAAATATCAAATACACATTTAATACAAGTTATAGTGGGATTTTACTCGATTATGATTAATATTTTCATCATACGGTACATTAAACATCATAACTACTTCCATTGTTTCTTCGATTATAGACAATTTATTGATGTGTTTTCCGCTGGAATTTATAAAACTATCAAGTACAGCAATCAACTTGTATTATTGTTATGCTGATGTAATCTATATAGTATTCGTATGTAGACATACAGTTATATTATGACCAGAAAAAAAATCACTGAACTATGTTGTGGAAAGTTATTTTGTCGAATTGCCTACACACCACAGTGAAACATTTTAAAAGGCCTTTGTAAAATGTAATTGAGGTTAACACAAATAATACTTCACATTAATTCATAGTAATTATGTTGTTTGTTTTTAATGAATGTTACAGTATATGTTGATTGCTATTTCAGCCAAATCATTATCAATAATTTGTGTGCTTTAATACTAAATTTAGTAATTACTAAGTTTATGTTAAATGATGATGTATATATATATATATATATATATATATATATATATATATATATATATATATATCCTTAAACGTTTAAACTTGACATAGCTACTGATCACTGCAAGCTTGCCAATTTACTTTGTTTAGATACAACTAAACATCTGTAACCATTTATATATGTGTACATTTAGCCTAATCTAATTTCTAACCTTTTCCGACATACTTCTGCAAGTATAGAACACAATCAGTCAATTAAAATGAAGTGGAAACATCATGTAAACAGTAAATACAATGGATGCTGAAATTGTTGCATGCTTTTGTTACATAAAAAAAAATAATTCTAATAAATTCTGGGATGGAAAGCATAAGCAATCTTCATCTGTGTACAAGCATATATGAAGTCCGAATTCACACACATCGTTGAAAAGACATCCGAGCAATTGGAATATGCAGTAGTTATTGCCTATGTTCCTGGCAGTGGCGTATCTAGATGTGTATAAGAGACAGGAGTTGCACTTGCACAAAGAAAGGAAGGAAGTTCTATTACCAGTCTCCGACAACCTTAAGGGGACTTGATGATCAGTTGAGGGGCGATAATTCGCAAAATAAGGTGATTTTTGGGATTTTTATGGTTTATGGTTTTATATTTATATAGCGCCTTCCATGATCGAAACCGTCTCAAGGCGCTTGAAAAATATATGTGAATAATGTATGGAAATAAATTTGACCAGAAATAACCTAAACTAACCAAACAGAATAACCGACAAAACAGATAAAAAATAGAATCACACATCATCACACCGTTTCAATGACCGACCAAGGCCGGTCAGCTATTGATTTCACGTGTCATAATGATGTGTGTAACTAAATATTGGCCTATCGAGCAACGAAAATGAATGAATGTGAGTGGTCTATAGTGAGTTATAAAGATGAGTTTTCAATCGGCTTTTGAAAATCCCAGTTGAAGGTGCCTGGCGTACATAATCGGGCAGGCTGTTCCAAAGCTTAGGGGCAGCAACTGCAAATGCTCGATCACCATAAGTTCTGAGATGACTTTAGGGAACGAATAGCACTGATTTAACAGTTGTTGACCTAAGGGATCTTGTCGTGGATCTTGTCACAACC